TGTTAATTATTAATCACCACTTAGTTATTTAATGCGATCACTATTTGGTCACTGCTTAATTATTAGCTGTTTGTGATTACTGGGTGTTTCTACAGTTAAACAGTCAGGGCATTCCAGCAACAGTACAAATGAGATTTGAACCTGGAGTAAGATATCACTCTCACATACCTTATAGTTTAAGTGTACAAGTATAAGCTCTTAAGCCAAAGAAATAATGACTTAATTGCTTGTGAGGAACTCTTTCCCGATTTTCGATTTTGTATCTACATTTCAATTGCAATTCCAGTTGTTTATAAAAACTGAACTGTATCCTTTTCCTTGGACACATCTCGTCATGACGAGCACCCCATGTGTCCATTTGAACTTTGGGCTCGTTCTAAAAACCGTATTTATGAGGACGATGTTGATGCAAATGAGGAGAGAGAGGGAGAGAGAGATAGAATAATATTAATGTTGATAATCATTTAAACTTTACACATATAATTACTTAATTTCACGCAATATATGTGGCAAGATGCCAAGCCCAAGCCGAAAACACCCCCCGGGTACGAGAGATGGCCAAAAGTCAACAACATCGACGGATGGTCCGTTTATTCCGTTGTTATGGTGGGCGATGCCGGGCTAAATCGTGACTTTTAACGCACTCGCCATGGGGTAAGGGCTCAGCCTGAGCCTGAGGCTGAGGGTGCATTAGGGTGGTGATGGGCAGGGTGTGGTCGACATGCACTCAACACCCTCATCAAGGGCGCTGCTAAGCATCTGCAAGCGGTCATAACAAATTGCCAGCACTTAGGGCTGGCTGTGGGTGGGATTGGGATTGGAATTTGGATTGGGGTTGGATTCTTTGTTCGCTTGCTAATCCCAGAGGCGCTGCCATTTGACTGCAGACGACTGGTAATTGCATTTTGTCTGGCAGGGAAGACAAGGAAGCATGACATTTGGGGATCAGGTACTGTGAAGGGCATCTTGCTGTTTTTCACTGCCAAGGACTCTCTTAACTTCCTTGGCCAGTGCAGACCAGACAGATGCCCGTCGTAGCTTCCGCCCAGCCAAATGGCCAACATGACCAACTCAACCAGCAAACTGCTTCCTCTTCGCATTTTTAAGCTGCTCACATGTTCGCCTTTTCGCAAATTGTTGTTATTGTTGCTTTTTACGCTACAGAGCATTTGGGCGGCTGTTACCACACATTAATTTTTATTACGAATAAGTATTTCTGCACTTTTTCAATGTTCAATTCAATTTAAAGAAAATGAAAACGAGATAAAAACGCAGGCGTTAAAAAATCACACGAAAATCCAGGTACTGCCAATTATCACGTGCAAGCCATGAAACTGAAGCTAAAACCTGAAACTGAAGCAGAAACTGAAACTGAAACTGGAAGTCCACTGTGGTGGGGAAGCGACTGAGTCGAAGCGCCAGTGTCTGTCTCGCGTTTGGTTCGCAGACTAATTGACTAATTGACTGCATGAATGAATGTTGCGCAAAAGTGGCAAAACACTTTCATTTTCTATAGACTTCTGTCGATATACTTGTAATTGGAGCATTAACTGCTGGATTTCATGTAAATGAAACTTAGTACGAGTAGTGGGAATTACGATTCTAGTTTGGATTCGGTTTTCAAATAGAATGTACCAGACTTTCTAATTTAAGCGCCAAACCCACTAGATTTTTTATAGATATATATATATATATATATATATATATATATATATATATATATATATATATATATATATATATATATATATATATATATATATATATAGACAGACCCGTCACTTCGTCTGTGCAAAAATCACTCTTAATGGAATATTGGCAGACTGTCCGTCCGTATGAACCTCAATAGTTTGTAGGCCACAACAGCTAGGGACGACAGACTAGGCATGTACATTTATCATATCCATATGTACAACAAGTATATTATAAACCAGATGTAGCCTCATTATTTATACATATAGCTACTTATTATTAAAATAACTTTATTATTATTGAAGATACTTGTTTCTTTGCCACAAATTAAATTCACAAGTGTCATCAAAATTCGTGCTCTATATCTACATCATCCTACTCTAGAAATTTGTCTTCCCTTTTCTAGATCTAGTGCATGGTCTTCTGAGTGTAACATACCTCGCAAATGCTTTCGCAAATATGATTTTGTTATGCTCAACCGTTTGACTTCCAATGCTAATTGGTCTTTCTTGTATAGCTCTGTCGATGTAGATGTTGTTTCAACATTCTTTTATGACACCATGTTTTCCATCTTCGATGTCTGTGTTCCCACTAGCGTCGCATCATTTTCTTCTCTTAAGCCTCCATGGTTTACGCGTACACTTTCAAACCTAAAAAACATAAAATCCAAATGTTTTAAAAAGTTCAAGCAGTAGGGCTTAGGTGTTGATTTCTCTAAATACTTGTATTGTATTGCAAAATCTAATTTTCTTCTTTTAAACTCCTTGTGTTACTCAAATTATCTTGAGCGTTGCAAGCTCCAATTTAAACATGACCCTAAAAAGTTCTATAACTTTGTAAATTCTAAGCGAAAATCTTCGACTTTGCTATCGTCATTTTTCCTTGCCAATAACAATTCTTGTAATGATTCTGTAGTGCTGAATTATTTGCAAATTTTTTCCAGTCGAAGTACTTCTCTGAGTCTTTTAAATTCTATATTAAATTCTATATTTGCTCCAATAATTACAGATTCTTGTATTTTATCTAATATACAATCTGTAAAAGTTTCATTCTCTCCTGGGCCTGACAACATTCCTAGTTGTGTGCTCAAAGAGTGAAGTACTTCCCTCTGCAAACCGTTGCTTAAGCTTTTTAATCTGTCCCTTGAGAGCGGAATCTTTCCTGCTTCTTGGAAAGTATCGTTCATTATACCACTCCACAAAAAGGCCTGTAAGTCAGACATTTCCAACTATAGAGGCATTACTAAAGTTTCTGTCATTCCTAAATTATTTGAAAAAATAATTACGTCCTCTTTACAGCATCATTGTAAGTCTGTAATCTCCTCTGCTCAGCATGGATTTTTTAAAAATCGGTCAACAACGACTAATCTGCTTGAATTTACATCTTTGAAATATAATGCATTCCTAGCAAAGATGCAAGCTGATGTTATATATACTGACTTCAGCAAAGCATTTGATTCTGTGAATCACGACCTCCTCCTCTTGAAGCTAACTTCTATGGGATTTCCCTCAAACTTTTTGAAATGAATTTCCTCGTACCTAAAAAATAGGACACAGATGGTACTACTCAGGTCGAATACTTCTAAATATGTTCTCGCAACTTCTGGTGTACCTCTTGGCCCCCTATTATTCACTCTACTTGTATTTATTAATGACCTTCCGTCCATCCTGCTGCTCTCCCGTATACTAATGTATGGCGATGATGTGAAGCTAATTTCGTATAAATTCGTGTAAAGATCCTCTTTACCATTCTCGTCTGCAGTACGATCTAAGCTGTTTTCAACGATGGTGCTTGGTCAACCACCGGCACCTTAACTGTTCTAAGTGCAAGTTTATGACTTTTCACCGGTCCAGACCATATCTAGGTACTTATGCGATCGACAATATACCATTGCAACGTATATTTACAGTTGAAGATCTTGGAGTTCTTTTTGGTTACAAATTGAATTTCAATCTTCACATCTCCACTAACGTTAACAAAGCTAAGAGTGTTCTTGGTTTTATTAAACGTTGGTCCAGAGAATTTAACGACCCCTACACCACCAAGTTACTGTACAGTTCTCTAGTACGGCCAGTGCTAGAATACTGCTCATGTGTTTGGTGTCCTCAGTATACAAGTAAATTGTATCAGGATCGCATTGAGTCGGTTCAGAAACAATTTCTTCTTTTGCTCTTCGTGGTCTAAACTGGGATCCTACCTTCCTACTCCAGTAGACTTCTCCTTATTAACCTCCCTTCTTTAGCTCACCGTAGAATAGTTCTTGGTGTTCTGTTCCTCCACAAATTGATTGTCGGAGGTGTTGATTCCTCTACGCTTTAAGGTCGTATCAATTTTTCGGTTCATTCTAGGCCGACACAATCACTGATCACCACTGCTGTGAGTACGGGCATAGCTTGCCGGACTGGCTAATAAATTTCACCCAACGGGTCAGTGGTTCTTCACCTTTACATTTTAATATTTTATTATTTAAGTATTTTAATTTTAATTTGTTTTCTTCTATATTTTATTGCTACATTTTTTCATCTCCACTTCTTTTTTGATAGGTCTAATAACGTATCTGGCTACTCTCTGCTGTGAATCGGGGCATAGCTGGCCGTTTGGCAAATAAAATTCCCCCACCGTGTCGGATTCGTTATTAGATATTTTTGTCATTTTCATAGGCTTTTTTATTTCTTAAGTTTTACTTAGTTTAAGTTCTCTATTGTATGGTATTGATTTTTTTGCTGCACTGTTTGTCGATGGAAATAAATAAATAAATAACAAGTATAGGAATGATTAGTGCCCGATAAACTAATAGTAGTGGAGAGAGGAGCAAGTGCGTTTGCTTAACTTATTTGTGCAGTGCATAAACAAATTTTTGTTGCCTTTTACCAGCAAAGATTAAATTAAGCAAATGCATGTGCGAACTTCGAAGTGTTAGGCCGAAGCTCATATACTCTCTTAAATATAGTAACACATACGATAGATAGGTATTTCGTTTATTTAAAACTTTGGAAAACTAGGTAGTTCAAATGGCAACTACAAGTGGATCATGCACTTTGGTTAAAATTCAAATATACATTCAAACAAACCTAACCATTATCGTTGTTGTCATAATCGGGAATTTGATTTTACAAAAATACACTTTGGAAATGTCTTATTAATCTATTAATTAAAAGTAACAGACAGTAATATTTAAGGAAGTAAAATATTTGTGCCAGTACGTGTACTTTTCAGTGAAGGGTATGTTCTCTATACTCACTGATATGTATATAGTACATAGGAAAGGAAATTGCGTCTTAATATACAAGTAGTGTGTATAGTATAATATGTCCGATGGTGCATCTGAAAGCTTGTCAGTACCTCTCGAGATGTTGCGTCGAACACTTCTCTATGCCTGCCTTGCAACGCAGCTGCTGGGCTGCACTCTTGGCGCCAATATATTGGCTCTCATGGGCATGACGTCACCCAGCAATCACATTTGGTGAGTGTCGAGATTCCAGTTTATTGCCATGTTGATATACATTTGAGCAAATTGAATAGGAATAGTGTGCTGCTGCACGAATTGGCGACGCGGGGTCACAATCTGACTATTCTCTCGGTGGATGTGCCACGCCCTAACGAGCAAGTGCCCGATAATGTGACTTACATACATCTTGAGCGCGCCTACGATATGTACAAGCAGAGGGGGGAGGGCGGGAGCAACGAGTCAATTACGTCGTTTATTGGTCTAGGTGGCTTCGAAAGCATCAGGCCCTTCTATAAGTTTGGATTGGAGACGGCTCGCCATATAGCGAAATCAAACGGCATGCAGCAGCTCCTCAACTATCCCGACGACTTCCACTTCGATTTGATCGTCAACGACTATACGATGGGACCATATCTACTGGGCTTTGTGCACAAGTTTCGTTATCCGCCCATACTGGGCATGAGCGCGTTCCACAATCCGCCGATCACAATGGACTTTATGTCCAACACCTACTTGCCCGCCCTAACGCCTTTTCACTCCACATCCTATAGCCCCCAAATGAACTTTTTCCAGCGATTGCACAACACGCTAATATTTGCCGCTGATACCATGTAAGTTCATACGACTACTGCCCATACAAATCGGTATTATATCTGCTCTACATACATATACACAGTTATCGGCGCTGGCACTATAATCCCGCACTAGATGAAATAATGCGCCCCCACTTTGGCGACGATATGCCGCCCCTGGACAAGCTGGCCAAACGCACCCTCATTTCGCTGGTCAACTCCCATCCGGCTATTGATTATGCGGAGGCGTTACCACCCAGCATCATTGAGGTGGGTGGCATGCAAATCAGAAAAGCAAACCCCCTGTCCCCGGAACTGGAAACGTTTGTGCGAGAGGGAAGGCAAGGTGCGGTGCTCTTCTCCCTGGGCACCAACATGCAGCCCAGAGATGTAGACAAGCAGACTGTTCGCATCATAGTGGAAGCGTTTCGGCAATTACCCGAATACAATTTCCTATGGAAATTCGATGCTGAGTATTTAAGGGAGATACGGATGCCTAAAAATGTGCTGGTTAGCAATTTTCTGCCACAGCGTGATATTTTGGGTGAGTTGTCACTGAACGTGCCTAAAAATCGTATGAATTCGTAAATGAACGTATGGTCAGACAGGTAAATTATTTGCACACAAACTCTTAAAGTTTTTATTTGTCAGAGATGAAAAGGAAAGCTCTTAGATGATTAAACCTTCTCTTTGTATAGAGCTGTTTGGCTGCTTTAGTTTCAAATACAATAATATTAAAACCATAACGAATTTGTGTGCAAATTATTTGGCTGTCTGACCACAGCTTTGTATGTTATGCCCACAGCACACGATGCACTGCGCGCTTTTGTGTCGCACTGCGGTGGCTTGAGTTCCCAAGAAGCCACTTGGCATGGCGTACCCCTGGTCGGAATCCCTCTCTTTCTCGATCAGCATCGCGTAAGTGATCGTAGCGCCCAACAATGTTCGATATATGTATATAACTTGTTTCCAACCATTCCCACAGAATCTGCGTCAATCCCTAAATGCAGACGTGGCTGTCCAAGTCGACTACCTAAGCATGACTACCCAAGATCTGATATATGCTATTAAAGAGGCGACTGAGAACGAACAAATCGCTGCTGCAATGCAGGCCAGATCTGCACGGTTTCGGGATAACCCCATAACGCCCTTGAAGCTAGCTGTCTGGTGGGTGGAGTATTTGTTGCGTCAGCCAGAGCCGCATCATTTGCAGTCGCCGGCCAAGGACATGAACTATTTCGAAGCACACTCCTTGGATGTCTTAGCCCTGCTTCTGTTCATTATTTGGCGGATCTACGAAAAATTTCGTTGAACTCAATGCCAACTAGTTCAATACGTGATAAAAGTTTAACTCAAAAATTACCTCAAGAGAATTTTCAAAACAAATCATTGGGCATTCGTAATGGTGCGAGTCCTAAAAAAAACGCATCACCAATTCCCTGATTCGACATTACGCAGTCAAATAAATAAATAAAGAATGTATTTAGAAAACAAACATACTTGTATATTTATTTTCACATTTTTCGAATTTATTAAAGATTTATTTTCAAATTTAAATTTACTTTAAATTTCCAAGGCAATTTTTTTTATTGTTGTACATAAAACCGTTTTAGAAAGCAACTTTCTCAAAGTTTACAATATTTTAAGTGCGATTTCGAGCATTTTTTTCCCAAAATAAAACACCGGTCTTTTTTTACAAGGTTTTGATTTAACACGGTTTGAAAATTAAATATTTTTTTCTGGAACCAATCTTCTGTGTCTTTTTTTGCACGATTTTGATATAACACGGTTTGAAAATTAAAAAATTGCATATACATATATTTCTTAAGAGATAAGGAACCAATGACCTATTTTTGCATACGATCAATATCTTTTTTTACACGCCTTTTTCTGGAACCAATCTACCGTGTAATAGCAGAATTAGATATATATAGACATATATAGAAATAAGTGTTACAATAGCAGATAATACTCTTTGAGACTTTGCGTAAATAAACAACCTATATGTGAATTAAAGTCGGTCTTAATCGTTTATTGAGGAATCGCTTTCCCACAGCATTGTCTCACTAGCCAGTGATTTTCCCACGCACTTCCAGTCCGCGCTTATCTCGGAGGTTTGTGCGCCCGCATAAGCCCTACGACCAGTTCTCAAGCCCCAACGGGCTTCGCTATTGATAAGCCAGTCCGGCATATACATACTTCTATGTATGTACATAAGTAACGTCAAGTTTTCAAAGGTGTTTCGTGGATTTCTCCCGCCATTTGTGCAGCGAACCAAAGACAGTTGTACGCAGTCTAATTTTTTATTATTATTTTCTTTTTTCGATAAGGCGTCAGCGCCTCCTCGCGCCTTGTCGTGTAACGGCCAGTAGAGCGGCAAGGCGCCCGCTGCCGTGCCTTATTATCTACAACGAGTTGGCTAACTCTTCCAGCTGACGCAGGAGCGAGGTCGAGCACAAGACCGGGACTGGCATAGTGGCACGCCAGATTAAGGCCTCTGGTTGACATTGCCGTGAAATCAACTGGTTCACTCGAGCGTTTCGCCACAAAACTATCTTCAGTCCGCTCGCGCTGCCCAAGAAGAAGAAGAAGGAGCGCTTCAATTACCCTTGACCAGGTGCGAGGCACGACACTTGGCCCTCCTATTCATTCCATTTCTGGTAAGGTAACATCATCTTGATAATGGAATGTCGTCGTCGTCGTCGTCGTCGTCATCGACATACTCGCATTTATAATACTTGTGTGGCTTGCGCACTATTTTCTCATATAGAGCGGGGCACCATGTGTTTCTCTGGCCACTAATAGGGTTGAGGGCGGGCTCTGCTGCCTTTTGGCCGTTACAAGCTGTGAGGCCCGCGAGCAGCTCGAAGGTTTGTGTCTTGCTGAGCTGCTGACATATGCCATTGACTTGTATTCTTTTTGTTTCGTACACCCCTTTAGTCTTTAGTCTTGTGAGAATGTAATTTTTGCAGATGAAACGGCACAAAAGAAAAAGCAATATTTTGGTGAAATCAATAAAGCAATTAATCGAGTATATATGTGGTACTTTCTAATATAATTTTTTAAAATAAATTAAAAATTTTTTCCTTTTTGGTGGGAGGTACAGAGTATTTAAAAGTTGAGTTCGCTCGACTTTAGTATTCCTTTTGTAGCAATGGGTAATAGTAGGAACACCCCTAATCACTAACAATAACTAAGCAGTGACCGAATAGTGATTGAATAGTTGAACAGTGATAAGTAATCAATAATCGATATTAACCGATAGCAGGGAAGTAAGAGGTCAATTGATATTGACCAGTCAAAGAAGGAGGACGCTTAGTGAAATTTGAATTAAACGCAAATTTGTGAAACATTGTTAATTGTTATAAACCAAAGTAACTGAACAAATTTGAATAAACTTAATTAATCCAACACTTTCTTGTTTTTGCTGCTTTTTCAAAGCAAAAAGTTATAAAAGTTCTAAATCTATTCAATTTATTCCAATCCAATTCCACATTATTTTTAAGTAACTAATATCAGCAATTTTCAATTTCACAAAATATGGTTGAAAAATAATGATTTTCCTTTTCCCTGCAACGGCGTAAACGGGACTAGCACAAACATTTTTGAGTGATAGCAAGCTTTATAAATAAATAATAGTATAATAATTTCAATAATTCTTGCAATCTCTAATATCTGCCCGAATAGAAAGTCCTGCAATTTGTATGTTGGACACTTTTCCGCATAAAAGGTAAGTAACACTAAGTCTTCTTAAACTAGAAAAAAATTAGTTTATTTAAATAAATATCTCTTGTTAGGATGTGCTGGTCCTTGGTTCGAATAAGATTAAGATTAAGATTAGTACAATATTTTTTAATATTAAATTTTTATTTTCATTTCTTTTTTTTTAATGTTATAAGTTAAATAAATTAAAAAGTGATCATAATTTTGTCACTTGGTAAGCTTGTTAGGGATTATATAAGTGTTTCTATTCTCCCTAAACTTTCCTTAACAGTCATCCAGAAAAGTGTGCCAAGTGGCCTTCGTAGGAGCTCTTAAGTAAATATACTTAGCCCGTACCTGTTAGTCTTAAATATGTGTATGTATATGGTGAACGAATTTTTCAAGCTTATCACCCACACATATCGCTCTGAAATGTATTACAATGAGGCTCCCCCGCTACCCATATATAGTACATACGTGTACATACTCGTAGAGCTGCTTTGGAACACACCTGACTGACTCTCCTACCATCATCAAGTCGAGACGGGCCGCAACCCTTGAAAAGCGCACCAGCAGCCGCAGCAGCAGGAACGACAATAATAATAACAACAAGAGGTTGAGGAACTGCATCACATGCACTCGAAATATAAGATAAAAAGCGGCACAATGAGGACGGACCTGACGGTGGCAACGGTGGTAAGCACATCTGTGGCCGCAGCCCGCGTCTTCCTCTGCCCACGAAAGACGTCCCGACGGAGGGGCAGCAGACAACGAAAAATGTCATGTGGGTTCAGACTACAAACTGCAGACTGCTGCTGACTGCTGACTGCAGACTTCAGACTGCGCAGGGGCACGTGCCCTCTCAAGCGCGAAATGCAACAACGAAATGAATGACTGGATAAATGACGGGAATGCCACCACCGCCGCCACCGCCACCGCCGCCGCTGCTGCTGCTGCTGCTTCTGTCGACGCTGAAGCCAACGCTGAGGCTGGCGATCTTCGAACCAGCACGATATGCCGCTGCCTTGACCAACGCGCTTCGTCTTGGCCGTCTTTATGGCCCGCTCTGTCTGCTATCTGACTTCCGGCGCTGTTGTTGCTGCTGCTGCCTCCAGTCGTTTGCACGCTGCGGTTGACTGTTCCCGCTCCCTACTTGGCCATCATCATTACCTAATCATCACCATCATCATCATCATCATCGGCTTCGACTTCGGCTTCGTCTTCGTTTTCTTTAATTGCGTTGCGTTGCGTTGCTCTACTGTCCTGTACTGTCCCTGCAGGTTTTCCTTATATTTTCTTTCGCCTCTTCGTGGTTCAATGGTGCATTTTCCCTTCCTACCGTGTTCGTGCAGCCAAATTAGATTAACCAGTCATGCACATGTTTTGTGTGACAGTTGCCCGGAGTACCAGATGCAGTTGGAGGCGTCTCTGGAGTGGGGAGTGTGTATTCGAAATGCAAGGGAAGTCAAGCATCGGTCGACGCGTCGACAGAGATGTGCAAAGACTTCGATGAGACATCCTTCCTATAAAGTTGTAGTGTTTTCGGAATTATATTTCAATTCTTCAATTTATGGTTTTACACTTCACTGAAAGATGTAGGCGTATATATTGCTATATATACGTGTAAGGACCAGTATGAACGCTGGGCCCTAAAATTTAATGAAAAGACACTTGGCTATGGTTTTCTTTGAACTTTAATAATAATGATATTGTGGATTATTGAGAATGTGTGGTTAAATGACCGTTTTAAATTAAATACAGATAAATTTCAGTAAGTTTCGGAGAGCTTCCGCGAGTTTCAATTTCGTGTTTTGTCGACGACCAGCTTCTTCATGACACTGTGTGACCATAATTCGATTACAATACAAATAACATAATATTTCATATAAATTTCTCGATAACATTAGTATAAATTGGTATTCAATAGCCGATCCCCGTTTTTTTTAAACCTTCGCAGCGAGGCTTTTTTTTTTTGACGAACACAGATATTATGTTGGGAAGAACTTCTTTAAATACAGTCAAGGGTGTAGGCAAGGGGGGTCGTTGATCCGTTGGATTTGCCAAAGTTTTTTCATTGATCATATGCATAAGTTATGCATCGTGCATTATTTAATCGAAACTTTACTTTTTTGGCTTTTTAAAAGCTGCCTGCGCCCTTGAAAACAGTTAAAACACAATTATATTAAGTAGCGAATACCATTTAATTGCAACAACTACCTCAATAAAGAACATTTTATCTGAATGCTTACCCTTTAATAACTACCGACAGATTTATTACCCAACCCTCGACCCATCCACTACTCTATTTTGTCCATCTAACGACAACTATAAAATACTGGTGAAGTTCCTTAAAGAATCAAATCTAATTATACATAGAATTAAGAATTAATCTAAATTATAGATCTATTACAATTCCACAATTATCATTAATTTATCCATCAACTTTTTATATATAGGACTAATTTATTATAATAAATCATATTATTTATAAGTAAGGCCCACGTCGCAAAAGCTTCGACCACCATAGCTTATCTGTAATTTTAATTACCTTTAATGTATAAATAAATAAATACATTTTTAAAAAAATCGCTAGGTTTCTTTCTGATATGTAATTGCAAAGAATTGCAATACCCCTACGCCTCTTAATTTGTCAACCACGTGTTGTTCTGAAAAAATATCGATCCAGCTTCTAAAGTTCAGGATATTAAAAGCATTGGAATCATAATGAGTTCTTTCTGAACTGTTCCTATCATACATAACAGATTTCTTTGCTTAAGGGTTTTACCATTTATA